AGGACCTCTTCAATAGCAAAATAACCACCAACAGGACCCAGAGGACCTCTTCATTGACACAAGAACCACCTACAGGACCCAGAGAACCCAGAGAATTGTAATCGTTGCCCAGCACTAATATATACATATGTACACATTTCCAGAGTGGACTCTGTGTTGTGGTGGGTGCCGGTCGTGTCGTCACAAGGAATTAGTAGCTCGGAGATGTAGGCAGCAGGCTTAGTGATGGCGTGACTCATAAGTGACTAAAGGAAGCTCAAAATCAATCAGAACTTCAGGCTCAACCAGCTACAGGATGCCGACTGTCCAACCCCTGACTCTAACAACAGACATGAGTGTCATTATTAACAAGAACTTTCCTGCAAGTTACAGAGTACTGTAAAAATAATGTTGGCACACCTGGGCTCAATGCTCCAGTCACTATAAGCTGTCACCTTGGTCTTCTTGGAGATTCTCTCTTCATGAGCTTTGTTCGCCTCATTTATCACTTTTCCCACCGAAACCGTATCTTCCACACATCCACTTACTGACACCGCTGACCTTCCTGACATCCACATTTTATCTGTTTTTGCAAATTAACTTAGGTTTTAGTAAATAAATCCATTAATTTGACACATTTTTGGAGCCTGTTACTTGCCGTGGCCCCTTGAACTGGTCATGGATCCTGGTTTTACCTGGTCCTGGTCTGGTTTGGGTCTTACCTTCTCCGTCGACTTTGCGGTACCAAAGAAGATCGGTACAAAGGCAAGCCAGATGATGCAGGTGGTGTACATGGTGAATCCAATCGGCTTTGCCTCGTTAAACGTCTCTGGAACACCACGACTCTTCACAGCGTACACCGTACACGTTACCTAGCAACAAGAATGACACAGGTTACCTAGCAACAAATATATACATATAATATATATGTTAACTGTCAAAGACCAATGTGAAATTAGAAGAGAGGTTCACACAAATCAAAAGCATGAAAACAGATGAGCTGCTTGGTCTGAAATCAGTGTGAGAGCTGCTCTTCAACACCAGATCATCAATCACAGATCAAAGAAGGATCAAAACTGGACACATATGTTACCATGAGTACGATACTGTAGCTGAGGCAACAGATGATTGACAGGTCAGACATGTCACATTTCAGGATGCCTCGGGCCAGATCAGGGTTCGGTGGACGGAGCTCCTCGTAGTCGATGATGGTGTGAGGAGGGACGACGCCAAACCACACGAACACCCCGAGGACCTGAAACACAAAGACACACAAAGGTAAACATGAATCATGTCACAAGCTGCTGAAACAGAAACAGGCAGCGGTTTGATACCCGTGTTCTCACCTGGACAGAGATGAGGATGAAGGTGATGATGAGCTGGGAGGTGGGGCTGATGAATTTGGGTGGGGTCACCGACCTCTTGCCCTGTTCGAAGATGCGGTAGATGCGGTTGGTTTTGGTCAACATGGCAGAGTAGGTGATGGCCATGCCGAGGCCCAGCAGGAGGCGGCGGAATGCACAAGCCACCACACCTGGCTCAGCGATCATCAGGAAGGTGATCAGGTAGATGAGGAAGATACCTGCAGAGAGGGAGACAGGTAAGGTCACCCTCAATGCTGAGTATCATTAGGACATTTTGATCATGGAGTAATTCTGGTTGGTCCTATATTAACTCTGCTGTAGTCAACTCCTACAGGACATAATGAAGCATTAAGACCCTTCAGAAATCTGATGTGTCACACAGGGAGTGATGCACTTGTTCATTAAAAATGAAAAGAAATAATAAAAAACCAATGTGTGAAGGAAGGAGGCGGGAGGCTGAATACTAATTCCATCAAAAACGAGCTTGCAGCCTGGTAGCTGCCCACTGATATTGAAGCCTAGATCACCTTCACCACCACACATGCCTCCAGGATCGGAGGAGAGACGGGGTTCTTAACCAGCCCCTGACTATCACCTCACCTCTCCTCTCCTCTGCACCTCAAGCATGGCCACACCTCTTTGGTCTCCACAACAACCCTAAGCCAATGCAACTGGGCCAGACCAGGCTCTCCCTGGTTCCTCCCCCAGTGGAGCGACAGCATTTTGTCTCATCCTGCCAAGTAAAAAGAAGGCCGTATCAGTAACCAGGAGGTTCTAGTGAGCCGAGCACTAGATCCACAATTATCCTCCTGTGCCTTGCTCCGCTCTTAGTTTCCATGACTTTGTATACATAATCCAGACATCAACCTGTCCTCAGGGACTATTTTGTGCTGGAACTGACACTTCCATGCTGTGTGAATGTGTCCTACTCATTGTAAATCATATCCCGTTTGGATTCCTGTTGTAGCACAAAGCTCACTGTGACATTACACTGTGTTTAACAGAGCAGTTCAGCGGCCCACAGTCCAGCACACAACTGACCCACAAACAGTAAATACTGATTAGACAACTGAGAATCCTCTGACGACTCTTAGTCTCCGGAAGGCTTCTTCTTTGTGGACAGGCTCTCTGTACCTGCATTATGTACCAGGCCCTAATGATACCATTATCAAAAACAGACACCATCTTCCATCTCTTCAGCATTGTTTATCCTTATTTAACCAGAAAGGTTCCATTAACACATTAAAAAAACCATTAAACACAACAACAGAGACAAAACATACAGGAATAAGAGGCTAAAAGAATCAAGGCAAACAATGGCACTTCTTATAAGCAACAATATTGTTCAAAGTAGTTTTAAACATGTGAAGAGAAGGTTCCAGGTTAAGTATCTCTTAAGCCTTGCAGCTCATTCTAATTTTGCAGGTGAAGAAAGGAATAGGTCATTAAACCAGCTATGTTTAGGTGATTGGGATCATCAGGAGGACTTTCTCTTAAGATCTAGAGCAGCGGTTCCCAAACCTTTTAGGCCACGCACCCCCTTCTACATCACGACCGGGTTCACGCACCCCCAATCCCCCACACCTTAAAAAAAATTGTGTGAGGTAGCCCCTTTCTTGCTATTCTGTGACCAGATATGAAGCCCGTAGTGCGTTTTTTGTAGACCCAACACATGAATGAGACTGCAGTTGTTTTGGGCTGTAACTCCTCCAATTTCGATATAAAAATGTAAGGGGCTTTTGACTTGCACTGGCATGCTTGGTGTTCAGGTGGCGACGTAAATAAGAGGGCTTCAGACAGCTGTTAGCCAGAACCTCACTGCACACCACGCACTGTGGCTTTGGGCAATCTGCATTGCCAATCCAAGTGAAGCCCAGACCCAGATCATTTTCATCATATTCCCTCTTTTTTCACCTTGACTCCGCAATGGGCCTATGTGCTCCCGATTTGTCTGTGCTATCCCTTACTCCTTTTTGGTCTCCTCCGTCTCACATTTCTCTGACTCCTGCTCAATTTATTCTCCCGGTCTCTCCCCAACGCACCTCTCCGTTCCTCTCGCCTCCGATTCCTCACTCTCTCTCTCTCTCTCTCTCTCTCTCTGTCCCTCTCCTCTTTTATGACTGATAGCTTCAGATGTCCCACCTGACAGTTTCCCCGATTTCAGCCAGTTTAGCATATTTGCATGAATGTTGCTGAATGAAGTTAGCTGTTAGCTGACGTTAGCTGCACAAGCTAGGCTAGCTAGTGTGTACGTAAAAGACTGGCAGCAGGAGCTGAAGTGCATTTATTTATTAAATTGTAAGTTTTTAATTTTAAATTTAAATCTTACAAAGGGAATTTTTATAATTCATCTTTTTCTTTTGTGAAAAATCCCACTTAAATTTTTTAAAATTATATTTAATAATTATTACACCATTAGACCACCATTACATTTTTCCTCTCGCGCACCCCTAGAGGCAGCTCGCGCACCACACTTTGGGAATCCCTGATCTAGAGTGATAGTCAGAAGTCCATAAAGTGGATATGTACTTTGATAATTTACATATATAAACTATTTATATAAGTTACATTACCACCTGTCGTTGGTACCTGTCGGTAGTACCTGTCGTCGGTACCTGTCGTCGGTACCTGTCAGTAGTACCTGTCGTTGGTACCTCTCGTTGGTACCTGTCGTTGGTACCTGTCGGTGGTACCTGTCAGTAGTACTTGCCGTTGGTACCTGTCGGTGGTACCTGTCGTTGGTACCTGTCATTGGTACCTGTCAGTGGTACCTGTCAGTAGTACGTAGCTGAGCTCCCTCCCTGATGCCCTGACAATTGGTGTGTCATTGAAGCGGATGAAGGTGATGACCACAGCACTCGTTGCTAGGATACCGAGCAGGGCAAGAGAGGTGGGCACTAGGGCCCAGGGGGAGTTCCACTCCAGTTTGATGATTGGAGTCGGATGACAGGTGGTTCTGTTTGGGGCGGGGCGCATGTTTGATGGGCAGGTCTCACAGGTAAACTCATCCAACTGGTACTGATACCCATCACAGAGCTGCAGACAGATCAGAGACATTTATCTTATTACATATATATACCCGTGGTTCTATATATCTATATAGATAGATAGATAGATAGATAGATAGATAGATAGATAGATAGATAGATATATAGAGATAGATATAGATATATAGAGATAGATATATATATATAGATAGAGATATATATAGATATAGAGAGAGAGAGAGAGAGAGAGGCCAAAGACACAGAGACAGGTCAGAGAGAGAGACAGGTCAGAGGTGCAGACGTCAGACTGTGGATGTGGTCCTCCATCAGCTACACTGTAGTGTGTTATGATAGATCACAGTCAGTATGAACAGAAGGAATCACAGATAAACTAAAGGAGTCCTGGTGGTCTAAGGTTTAAACCACAAGGTCTCTGGTTCATGTCCAGACTCAGACATTCGTCCCCTGGTTTTCTGTCCTCTGCCTACTGTTAGCTGATAATAAAGGTATACAATGAAACTAAGATTTGAACCTGATCCTCTGAAACTACAGTGCTTTTGATTAATGAGTGAACAGGAACATCTGTTTATAAGTCATCACTATTCTAAGATCATATAAATATACTCATAAGTACTTTAGAATAAATGTCATGTGAATGAGTGGTGGTGGTTTTACCTCACAGTGCCAGCAGCATAGAACTCCTTTCACCATCTTCTTCCTCTCTCCTGGTTTACAGGGAAAACTACAGATGGAGTCTGGAACTGATTTATCTCCTCCTGACCACTGCATCTCGTCCAACTGTACAGAGACAGACAGGCACAGAGACAGACAGGCACAGAGACGGACAGGCACAGAGACGGACAGGTAGACAGAGAGAGAGTAAGACCTAAAAACTAACAGATGCTGCTTTAGTTTTTTTAGTGTTTGATCCAATACATTGAGTTTCAGGTTATTGGTCCACTGGCCGATGACATGGTAACCAGGATGGCTGTGATTGGTCATCTGGAATTGGAATATGTCATAACGGCCGGGAGCATCTCCGTTCTCATTGAACAAGACACTGGTACCTGCACTTCCTGTAGAACACAAACAGAAAGGGACAGTCACATTCAGAGAGGTTCTACCTGTGTTTCTACCTGTGTTTTTACATGTATTTCTACCTGTGATTCTAATTGTGTTTCTACCTTTGGTTCTACCTGTGGTTCTACCCGTGTTTCTACCTGTGTTTCTACCTGTGTTTCTACATGTGTTTCTACATGTGGTTCTACCCGTGTTTCTAGCCGTGTTTCTAGATGTGTTTCTACATGTGTTTCTACATGTGTTTCTAGCTGTGTTTCTAGCTGTGTTTCTACCCGTGGTGCTACTCGTGTTTCTAGCCGTGTTTCTAGCCGTGTTTCTACATGTGTAAAATGCATGGCCCGCCACACACACACACACACACACACACACACACACACACACACACACAC